CATTTTATTCCACAGATCAATATCAAAGTTAAACTCTGCAAAGCTCCAGTGTGAATACAGAATATACACAATCATTATTGTTTTATAAAAATAATATCTAGGAAATTTAAATCTCCAGTAGTCATTGAAGGAGAAATGGATTAAAAAAGCCAGCAGTTGTTCAGCACCATAGCACATTTGATCAAAATCTGTTCTGAAGTTTTTTAGAGAAATGAGACAATATGCAAATTAGCTATTTAATATGCACAGTTATGACCCTGAGACTAATTATATGTGCATAACCATAGGCACCTAAGCAATAAATTTGATCAAAATCTGATTTTGCACACAGGCTGAAATGAGACAATATGCAAATTAGCTACTTAATATGCACAGTAAGAACCCTGAGACGAACTATATCTGCCCATCACCATAGGTACCTAAGTAATAAATTTGATCAAAATCTGTGATTCTGCACACAGGCTGAAATGAGATAATTAAGATGCAAATTAGCTACTTAATATGCAAGGACATGGCTCCAAAACAAATCTGTGCAATATCCCAAGGAATTTGTGTACCAAATTTTGATATTCTGCTTACAATGGCTGAAATGATGCAAATTAGCTACTTAATATGCATGAACATGGTCCTATAGGTAATCATATCTGCACATTATCCCAAGGTACCTATGTAGTAAATTTGATCGAAATCCGCTAGCAAGTTTTTGAGATTATGCTTACACAGGCAAAAATGAGTTAATTAATATGCAAATTAGCTAATTAATATGCACATTTATGGTGCCAGAAGTAATCACGTCTGCGGATCATCCCAAGGTGCCCATGTACCAAAGTTGATCAAAATTCGCTCAGAAGTTTTTGGGATTTTGCTTAACAGGTTGAAATGAGATAATATGTAAATTAGCTATTTAAGATTGCTTACACAGACATAGATATGGACAGACACACCAAACTCATTAGCTAAAAATCTGTCAATAATTTATGAAAAACACTCTATTTTGATATATTAAGATCTATATCATATGATATGACAGTTTCCTGTGATAATATGAGGTTATGACCTCAAAACCTGACCTGCAGTAGCGGGCATAGTGTTTTGCCCACAATCAGAAGAATACTACAGTAGGCTATCATAGTGATATATTTTCAAAATAAAATCACCTTTGACATTATCACTAGTAAATGTCAATGATTAAAGTGGGTGATTGTTATCCAGTCAAAAATGTTTGTATCACACTGATAAAAATGTACCGTGACACAATTAGTTATTCTCGTTCTGATGTAGTTTTAATATGTTGGAACATAGTATTGTAATGCGTTACATTTCGAACTTACTGAATTTGAGAAAACATACTTTTTAAACAGTCTGAATGTAAAAGAAATACATGATGTGTCACAGAAATAGAATTCTGATCCACAAACATTCACACAGCGCAAACGTTTCTGTTGCCATTCAGGA